TTAAATTCCAATCTAAATTTAGTAGGAGTCGGAGTCGGTGCATTGTTTACCGACTCCGACTCCAGGTACCCAAAATTTCCTCCGACTCCGACTCCTCGACTCCGACTCCACAGCCCTGTCAGTTTCTCCTTGTTTTCGTCAAAGAAACATTTGCCTCGTCAGCTCTTTTCTGATTTATCCCTCTTCCTCTGTTGTTTTTGTGTCCTTTGGGTTGTTGATGGTTTTTCACTGCACCATCTAAAATTTAATCTCCAGCTGTGCTGAGACAACATTTGCTTTCTCTCCCAGTGTTAAATAGATTGTGTTTGGTTATGACAGTAAAAAAAAAACAACAACTGTATAGCCGTGTAAGTTTGGAATGCACACAAGAGAAGCCTGGGCAATTGGAGGTCTGCTGTGGTTTGGGGTGAAATGCATATTTATTTGCACCGGTGATGCAGTGCTGATCTAGGAAGTTTGTTCCTGTTGTCTTTTCTCTCTTTTTTTCCCTTTGAGCCGCTGCCTCGATTTCATTTTGGCCATCGCTTCCCCTGTCCCTTGGCTGGGCTGCTGAGTTTCCATCTACAGTAGTTGTTTGCGAGAGATGCGGGGGGGGGGGGGGGAGTGTTTGCCTCTGGCTTTCCTGCACGTTTTCCTTCTTCAGGATTCTCTGTGGTGTTTATGGATCTGATTTCCTTTCCTTTTGGAGTGCTGACCCTGAATGTACTCTTGTTTTTCTCTGAAGGACTTTCATCTGCTTCTGTTGCAATTATTTTATTTTATTTTTTTGCATGAAATTTACAAGGGCTCAAAAAAGACAATGATAGATTGTTTTTGTTTTCCCCTTTGGGTCTTTCTTCCTTTTGTCTCTGTTTCTCTGGCACCATAATTTTCTATCTGACATCCCCTCCTTTCTTTCTTTCTGCCCGAGATTTCATTTTTCTTATTCTTTCTATTTCTTTCTATATCTATCTATCTATCTATCTATCTATCTATCTATCTATCTATCTATCTATCTATCTATCTATCATCTATCAACATATCATATCATATCATATCTATCTATCTATCTATCTATCTATCTATCTATCTATCTATCTATCTATCTATCTATCTATCTATCTATCTATCTATCTATCATCTCTAGGTATATTTATATCTGTTTTGTCTGTCTATCTATCTATCATCTATCTATATCATATCTCTATCTATCTATCCTATCTATCTATCATCTATCAACATATCATATCTCTATCTTCTATCAACATATCATATCATATCTCTATCTATCTATCTATCTATCTATCTATCTATCTATCTATCTATCAATATATCATATCTATATCTATGTATCTATGTATCTATCTATGTATCTATCTATGTATCATCTCTAGGTATATTTATATCTGTTTTGTCTGTCTGTCTGTCTCTCTGTCTCTCTCTCTCTCTCATCTATCTATATCATATCTCTATCTATCTATCTATCTATCTATCTTCTATCTATCTATCTATCTATCTATCTATCAACATATCATATCATATCTATCTATCTATCTATCTATCTATCTATCTATCTATCATCTCTAGGTATATTTATATCTGTTTTGTCTGTCTGTCTATCTATCTATCTATCTATCATCTATCTATATCATATCTCTATCTATCTATCCTATCTATCTATCATCTATCAACATATCATATCTCTATCTTCTATCAACATATCATATCATATCATATCATATCTCTATCTATCTATCTATCTATCTATCTATCTATCTATCTATCTATCTATCTATCTATCTATCTAATCTATCTATCTATCTATCTATCTCTATCAATATATCATATCTATATCTATGTATCTATGTATCTATCTATCTATGTATCTATCTATGTATCATCTCTAGGTATATTTATATCTGTTTTGTCTGTCTCTGTCTCTCTGTCTCTCTCTCTCTCTCTCTCTCTCATCTATCTATATCATATCTCTATCTATCTATCTATCTATCTATCTATCTATCTATCTATCAACATATCATATCTCTATCTATCATCTATCAACATATCATATCTATCTATCTATCTATCTATCTATCTATCTATCTATCTATCTATCTATCTATCTATCTATCTATCTATCATCATATCTGTCTGTCACATTTTGGAACCACCCATCTCCCCCACATATCTGTCTTATATTTCCCCCCCATTCCTCTTCCTGACCCTCCTTTCTTTCTGAAGCTCTCAGTTGACCAGTCTTCTATATTCTTGACATCCTCTCCATATCTTTCTTTCTGACACTTATTCTAACTTTATTTAACCCGCCCTCCCCTTGTCCAATCACTCCCCTTTCTCTTCCTGACTTCCTCCTCTGCATCCCAAATATGATCTTGCAGACTTTAAAAAAAAAAAAAACTGCTTTGAATTCATCTACTTAGGAATGACATACAGCAAAAGAGCTGCTCATTTTCTTTCATCCAGTCCCCAGTTCCACCAATGCTTTCACAGGTTTTTGGAAAAGGCATCAAATCTTCTTTGTTCCAGCCAGTTTTTTGTGGCTAGTTTGAGACTCTCTGATCTTAATAACTACTGAAATGTTTTTAATGGACGGTATTTGTTATTTTTTTTTCCCTCCCATTGGATTGTTTCGCTTTAACCTTGCATGGGTTAGCAAGCTTGGAAGGAGAAGCCGGGAGGACCATAGCAAAAGGGTTATTTTTTCTTCCCAGGGGAGAGTAATGCCTTGACTTTGAACTGGCAAATCGTTTGGCTACCTCCAGGCCCTTTCTGAGTACTGCAAACAGATTTTTGTACAGAATAAAAGGTCAACAGAAGTCTTCAAAGACCTGCACTGCAGGATGTCCAGCTATTCCCACCTTTCCCCCCACCCTTCTTTATGTTTTTTTTTTCCTCCACAAAATCTAGTTTTCTGCAGGCAAGGGGAGATTTAAGTGAGTTGATCTGGCATCAAATCCTCGATTAGATTTAGGAATCAAAGGGCTTTTAAAGGATCAGAGTGCTTTCTTTTATCTTCTTTTACATGTCCCCACCCTGCCAGAAATAAAGGTTTCAGCAAAACCTGTCTAAAATAATGATAAGGAAGGATGGAGATATCCGTTCTTTTGTTTATTTGTGGTGTGTTCCAGATACTTGCCTAGCAGAGGAGATATCATGATCATATTTTTTTGTAAAAAAAAAAATCACAAGTGGGCTTATGTGTTAGGGTGATTTAAAAATACAGTTGAACAATAGAGAGAAAACAAGAGACTGGGCAACTGAACATAATTTGTCCCGAGGCACACAACTCACTCAATGAGGATGCATTTTGGATTACAAGATCCAACATTCCCAACCATCAGATCCACAAGCATGATGTGTAGGATAGACATTGTACTCCAAGTGCGTTTCGAGAGTGCCATCTTGGAGAAAGCGGAGGGTCTTCAAACACCTTCCCCAATCTGATGCCTTCTCCAGATGTTGAGACTGCAGTTCCCAGAATTATTAAGCAGAATAGACAAAGGGTGCCATGTTGGATCAGGGTTCCTGACAGCTAGAACAATTTACCAGTGGAACAACTTGCCTCCAGAAGTTGTGAATGTTCCAACACTGGAAGTTTTTAAGAAGAGACTGTACAGCCATTTCTCTGAAATGGTATAGGGCGGTGGTGGCGAATTTATGGCACATGTGCCAGAGGCGGCACTCAGAGCCCTCTCTGTTGGCACGCACGCCACCACCACCAGCAGCAGGACCATCAGGCCACCACTGCTACCCGGAGCAGGAGCCCCGCCCAACACAAAGGAGGGCGAACTGGCCAAACTAGCATTTTACATGCGTGCATGCGCACATGGGGCCACAAGCATGCACGCACTGCAAATGGGACAGGGCTAGTGCCTGTGTGATACTCACTAGCCCTGCCCCATTCTTGTGTGGTGCAGTGCCTTGTATCTGTACCCTGCGGCGCGGCGGCAGTCGTTTACAGGCTCTGTAAACTCTTCATGAAGTTTCAGATGGTTTATTGACCCCCCTAAACATTTAATTTAGGTGAATAATTAAATCAAGATTACTTTAAGTAAAAGTACTATGGCTCTACCACTACATCCATTACTATACAAGGGATAAAAATGCCAAATCCAGACAGTCTAAACACATGGCTGAATTATGTGACCAAGCATAATAAAAATATTAACCCCTTGGGTAATCCCATTGACCTTTGAGATCATTATTGATCCCTTTGAAGTCCCCTGGTGAAAAGCCATTGAACAAATTGGAATAAGGTTTTAGTGTGATCTTAGAAGAAACGACTACTGACTCAAAAAAGCATGTTCCCCCCCTACTCTATCATGTATGCTACTAGTTCTTCATAACTACCCAGCTTTTCATCCTGGGCTGTTTCTAAGTCGAGAAGCTAAAGCTTGAAATTGGGAATTTCTGCATGCAGTGCACATGCCATGACCCAGATCTCCATCCCTGCCCTAAGAAAAGCCTTTTATTCTATCTGCACTGTGGGAATCACAATGCTATAGTGTACAGTATATCTTTTTTTCAACAGAAATGGCATCTATCAAAGCTTAGAGAATAAAGGCATCTCTTGTTTGATTGCTTAATGGAATCTGAATCCCACTTTACCATAAGCAGAAATCCCCAGGATAACCTATAGTAATGTTTTTAAAAGCATAAAATGGGTGTCACTACTAAGAAGGCCCTGTCTAATTTTCCCACTCGCCATTCCCAGACTGTACGTAGGATGGGAGGATATATTAAGGGCACAACATATATAAAAAGGCAAAGAGTGTAATGAGAAAGATATAGCATTATACTCAAGACCATCTGCTTAATAGCTTTGTAGATTCTTTCTCTTCCATGCCCTCACAAAGCAGAACAGGCATAGAAAAAGGGATTCAGCCGTGTCACATGCATTTTAACTTGGAAGATGCTAATTTTAATCACTTGTTTTGAGACAAAGAGAAGGAATTCTAATTCCTATTAGGGGATATAACGTTTGTCATTTGGCTTAAATTTTTGAAGGAAAACAATGTGGGTTTATGGGGGGGGGGGAGAGGAATGAAATCTTCCCTAATCAAGCTTGTGGCTTGCATTGACTCCTCTGAGAAATAGTTGATAGGTTAAAGTTTCAGCAAAACACATGATCAGGGGGCTGAAACAATCCCTGCTTTTTTTCTTATTGTGTAACTGAAAAACATGACTAAGCAGATTCAGTGGGTCTTATTTTGTTTGGCATGTAAACACGATTGCGTTTCTCCCATTTGCACTGTGATTTTGTAAGGAGCCATAACAGGAAATACGCTTACATTATAATGGAAACAGTGATAGAGCAGGGATCGGCTTATTTTGATTAACTGCCTTTTATTGAATTAAAGAACACAAGTTTTGCAGGGAATCTGTACACACACACAGTCTACTGTAACACTAGAGTCTGAGTCTTGTAACACAGTAGGGAGTTTGCAGAGATTAAAACCAGGGAAAAACAAGTCTGCCTGTCAGAAGCCATCAGTTCTGCAGATGTTTATAGGTTCAACAGCTGTCTGCGGGGTTAGTTCGATGTCCGGCTGCAAGGAATGCTGTTCGCAAACAAAGTTTGCGCACCCAGAGAGAATCCAGATGTTGAAGGAGTCAGATTGTCTATGTGCAATGGAAGATGAATTCATCAGCAAAACAGTGCTTTGGTAATGTGTGACATCAGACCAAAGAGAGGATGCAACAACTTTTAACACTCTTGAGTCACTCTTGAATAAATAGCCCCAGAGTTAGAAAGAGAGAAATTGTTTTGAAAAATGGACTTAAGGTATGCTAAGAGCTTTTGTGACTGGGTTCCCTTACGCTAAAAAGGCATGGTTGGTTATATAAACTACTATTGGCCCCACACAATTTGCTAAGATTAAAACAAAATTCATTTTGCTTAGTACACAAGAATGCACTAAGATCGTGTGTTTGAAGGCAAGGATAATTCAGAATGGCTGAGATTCTGACCTTTGATTCATAAGCAATTTATCTGTCTTAATGCAGTGGATAAGGAAGGTAACAAATTAGGAAGAGCTGGGCACAGCAAACCAGACACTAACAAGGAGGCGAGAGCTTCCTGTTACTTTTGAAGCCAGATTTGCCCTATCATCTCATAAGTGAAAACCAACTTCAGATCCTGGCATCCACCTTCAGTTTGTTGGGACATACAAATTAGGAGTTTTGTTGGGAATAAACGTAATAGAAAGCAAGTTTTGACTTTGTTCCACATGAAAAGTTTGACGTTCTTCCTTCAAAACGTATCATATTGCTCTCTTCCCACTCCTTCAAATTAAATTATTTTCTCAAGGCAACATATTTCCAATTCTTTCAACTCTCTTCAAAGATCTTAATTTCTAATCTCCTGATCATCTCCTTGCTGTCCTTCTTTGAATTATTCCAGATTGCATCTTTCTTAAAGGATGGGGCTCCAAATGGAATGACTCAAAAGCAAATGTCACATGCCAGTGAATTCCCCATTCTTCTCTCCCTTTTTGCCTTCTGAACATGACCTAAAATGAAGACTATGGACCGCTTATGTCAAAAATGCCAACTGAGCCCAGATGAGATGACACTTGGGAAGAAGGATTTCGGATCCTGCAAAGGGACTTACATACTGCTCATGTGCATATGAGCACCAGTGAGAGAGAGCATAAGTAAATAGTCATTCTGTCTAAGACTTGCAAATTCCCTGACTTCTCAAACATTCATTACAACTCAGGGGAGAGCTTGATAAAAGAACTTCTATGGGGTCTTTAGTGCTCTCTGAGCTTGCTTGTTTTCTTGCAGGCCTTTCCTTACCCAAACTAGGTAACATCATCAGGGCTAGTAAGGAGTGGGGTTGGCTCTCAATTTATATTCTATCTAGTGGCTTGCCCTGTCAGTGTTGGTGGGGGTGGTCTTTAGAGGTTTGTTTGGACTGTTTACTGTTGACTTGTTTGGCAGCTCCTTGATTGGGGTATTGTTTATTTGATTGTTGGGACTGGAGAATGATAGAGCATTGGGTAACAGGGCAAAACAGCAAGTACCGTGCCGGCATCAGTTCACAATTACAAAGCCAGCTAAAAAACATTGCCCCAAGAAATTCTAAAGTCATTTTCAAGCAGCCTGAGAAAAACAACCTCATTCATTGGGGGGGGGGGGAAGGAAAACTTTCAGGAACAGTATTAGTTTCACAATTGGAGAAAACCTTGATCATCGTTTGTGGTCGAGGGCCTCTCTCTGCCATGCTTTCATGGAAACCTAACAGCAAGTTGTTTTTGAAGGTTACTAGAATATTAGTCACAAGAACAGGCACGTATTAGTAAGCCTTGCTTCCAGAGAGTTTGGAACCACATTCTAGTTTATTGTGATTAAAACAGTTTTAATATTAGTTGCTTATATTTTTTATCAAGCTCTTCATCATTCGCTTTTCTGTACCTTTACCTTGCAGGTTTCTCATTTCTTCTGTATTAAAACAAAGGAGAAATAGTTCAGAGTCTACCAAGATTCTTCCGGTGGTTTTGTTTTTTTTTTATTCCCGTTTTCTGTTGTTTTTCCCAAATAGCCTGTGGAATATTTTTCTTGGAGTAGAGTCTTTTCTTGGGGGGGGGGGTTGTTGTTATTATCTTATCCAAGTCAAACTGAATTTCTCTTGTAATAAGGCAACAGCAGGGAACATAAGAACGAGTGCGCAGGGGCATTTAAGGATATCAAGATTTACCTCTGTCTTAGCGAGATTCTGGCTAGGTTTTTGCAAGTCTTCTGTAGCTACTTAACTTGGGTATTTTTTTTTCCCGAACCGAAAAAAGATGCAGTAAAAACAAGGACATGGATCATAGCTTGAGAGGTAGACTTTCCCTGCATACTGCATTCACACATTGCTGTAAAGTAGGAAGCTTTTGTTATAGTTTGTTGAACAAGTCGTAAGAGCCTGGATGGCAGAGAATAGGAAGTCAGGTTGGATGGTTTATGCCAGGGGTCCCCAAACTTTTGGGCACCAGGGACCGGTTTCATGGGAAAAAGTTTTTCCGTGGACCGGAGGGTGCGTGTTTTTGTTTGCTGCCTGCATCCCACGGATGGGGCTTTGTTTGTTTGTGCAGACCGGTTGCTGGTACCGGTCCACAGACTGGGAGTTGGGGACCCCTGGTTTATGCTGTGTCTGGAATAAAATGCATGATAGCCTAGAGGGTTTTACGTGAACCAGGGCAGAGTACTTGTTACAAAAACTGGAGAATATAGGTAAAAGTATTCCCCCTTTTTTTTCCCTAAAGAGAGGTATTTGTGCAACCTATTTCCAAGGTATCTCATCCAGTTGTCTCTACCAGATCTGTGCATTTTGTTTCCTGCCAAAGCTATTGTCCTCCTGGCTATTGAGTCTTCTAATTTAACTTGGACAACGCGGGCAGTTGATTTCTACCCTTTAGGCATACTTTCATTCCAAATTTGTCAATCCCAACATTGGGATTTTCTGAAGATGAAGTATGTGTTCTTGTACAGGATTGTGGTTCTTTTTTTTAATTAGCAGGTCCTGTTTAAAGCACATGATGAAAACTGCCACGTTTAATGTATGTATGTATTTGTATATACACACACACACGCACGCACTGTATGTGTGTGTGTGTATTCATTAAAATACAATAATGCCACTGAACTCCGGGATAGAAAAATCTTTTTAATAACTACAAAACTCATATATGTTCCTCTCCACGGAAATCTTTAGTAAAGATTTCTCTTTACTTCTCTGGTTTCTCTTCAGAACGTATAAATCTTTCGCCTTTTACTAAAGATTTCCGTGGAGAGGAACATTTATGAGTTTTGTAGTTATTAAAAAGATTTTTCTATCCCGGAGTTCAGTGGCTCTATTGTATTTTAATGAATATACCCGGAATTCACGTGTTTAAGATTGTTAGGGATATGTATGTATGTATGTATGTATGTATGTATGTATGTATGTATGTATGTATGTATAAAAAAATTGTCTTTAGGAAGAAATACAGGCAGTCCTCAACTTAAAACAGTTCATTTAGTAACTGTTTGAACGTACAACGACACTGAAACAAAATGACTTATGACCATTTTTCACACTTATGACCGTAACAGCATCCCCATGGTCATCTGATTTACATTTAGATGCTTGACAACTGGTTGCAGTATCCTGGAGTCACTTGATCCCTTTTTGCAACTTTCTGACAAGCAAAGTCCACGGGGAAGCCAGTCACTTAACAACCCTAATTTAAGTTACTAATTTAAATTACTAATTTAAATTACTAATTTAAAAACTGCAGTGATTCACTCAACCAACGTGGCAGGACAAGCCGTGAAAATGGGGCAAAACTCACTTAACAAAACTCTCACGGAGCAACATCAATTTGGAGCTCAATTGTGCTCGTAAGCCAAGGATTAATTGTAGTATAAAATCTCAGGATCCGAGAATGAAAGAAAAGCCCAGTTTTGAATTTAGGAGGTGGAACCAACTGCTTAGTGGGAATCGCAAAAGAGAGGGGGGGGGAAGAGAGAATGAAAAAATGGGCAGTGAACTTTGGTCATGTTTTTTATCATTTATCATTTATCAATGCCTTGGCAAGGCCACACTTGGAATACTGCATCCAGTTTTGGTCACCACGATGTAAAAAATATGCTGAGACTCTAGAAAGAGTACAGAGAAGAGCAACAAAGATGATTAGGGGACTGGAGGCTAAAACATATAAGGAACGGTTGCTGGAATTGGGTATGTCTAGTTTAACGAAGAGAAGGACGAGGGGGGACATGATAGCAGTGTTCCAGTATCTCAGGGGCTGCCCCAAAGAAGAGGAAGTCAAGCTATTTTCCAAAGCCCCTGAAGGCAGGACAAGAAGCAACAGATGGAAACTAATCAAGGAGGGAAGCAACCTAGAACTAAGGAGAAATTTCCTGACAGTTAGAACAATTAACCGATGGAACAACCTGCCCCCAGAAGCGGTGAATGCACCAACACTGGAAGTTTTTAAGAAGAGATTGGACAGCTGTTTGTCTGAAATGGTATAGGGTTTCCTGCCTGAGCAGGGGGTTGGACTCGATGACCTCCAAGGTCCCTTCCAACTTTATTATTATTATTATTATTATTATTATTATTATTATTATTATTATTATTATTATTATTATTATTATTATTATTATTATTATTATTATTATTATTTTGTGGAGAAAGTGATGGGGCAATGATGAATAAAGAAGCTCTTTTTTTTGTCACTGGAAGCAAAAGGTTGTGGAGGTGACAAAGTTCAAACGATGGCTTTGTTTTCTTAATTTCTTTCTTTTGAATAAGCCAGATCTTGGTATGGTTAGAAAGTTGGGAAAAAAAGAATAATTACTGGGAAAAAATATGGGAAAGACATACTTTCCTTTAAACTTGTAGGCATTGCTTAATCTTGAGAACTTAGGGACTTCCAGTAGTCTGTTGGTTTGAGTGATTGTTACTTGGATTTGCTATGCTAAAAGAATCTGCATTTTGTGCGTAACAAATGCAGCAATGGGCACCCAAATTATTGGAGGCTAGGTCATACATTCGTTATCCTACTTTCTCAGTCATCTCTGAAAATAAGGTCATTGGATTGTATGATTCAGGAGAAGGACTGGTGTCTGCTGGTCATCTTTCAAGCATCTCCTACAGCATTCCTAAGTGAAGATGTAAGGAGTCAAAAATATGAGTGTGGGCAGTTGGCTTTGTTAAGGTGTCCCAGGCCAGAAAACGCACCACACGGAACAAATTATGCTTTTCGTAAATGTCTCAGCACTGGGAGCGAAGGAAGAAAGAATCACATAGGTTTTCCAGCATGCGACTTGACTGTTAGCATCAAGCATGAGGTTTTTTTCCTTCTTCACTAGGTGATTTATGACTGAGGTTTTGAATTCTTTGTCTTGTTGCAGCAGGATCCAAATTCTCAAAATATACGCTTGCTTTCATTGAATGCTTTTGTTTCTCCTATACACGGTATGTTTTATGGCTGAGATGGATTGTAAATCCTTCAATTCCAATCAATCTTCTCGGCTTCTATTGGTTTAATATGGTTTTACTTGCCATGGTACAATTCTTTGAATACCTTGGACTGAGATAGATAGATAGATAGATAGATAGATAGATAGATAGATAGATAGATAGATAGATAGATAGATAGATAGATGGATGGATGGATGGATGGATGGATGGATGGATGGATGGATGGATGGATGATAGATAGATAGATAGATAGATAGATAGATAGATAGATAGATAGATGATAGTCATTTTTTACTGTGGGCACAATGGCACACATTATGAAATTTTGTTGCTTGCTCTCAAAGTGTACACATACATAACACACATTTGAAACATATTATATACAACATATGTATAGACCTACATCCTTACATATAAGTAACATGTAAATATTAATCACTGTCCATCTTGAATGCATAACGGAAGGAGGAAGCTTGAGAGTTTACAAGGTTAATACTGTATGGAACAAAACTATGGCTGAATCTGGATGTTTTGCTTCGGATACCACGGAGCCCCCTCCTCCCAGAAGGTAACAAGGAAAACAGGTCTTGAAGAGGATGTGTAGCATCCCAGACAATCTTGCGGACCCTGCTCAAGCAACGCTTCTGTGCCATGTCCTGGATGGGAGGAAAGGAACTGCCAATGATCTTTTCGGCCATCCTCACCACTCTCTGCACCGCCTTCCTGTCTGAAGCAGGGATGCTTCCAAACCAGACTGTGATGCTGTATGACAGGATGCTCTCGATCGTCCCTCTGTGGAAAGTGGTCAGGACAGGGGAAGGAAGATGTGCTTTTTCCATGCGACACAGAAAATGCAGGCACTGTTGTGCCCGCTTCACCAGGGTCTCGCTGTTGAGCGACCAAGCCAGCCTACTTGATAACTGCACACCCAGGAATTAGATGCTGGTAACCATCTCCCCAGGTGAATCATTAGATGGTTACCAGCATCAAATTCCTGGGTGTGCAATTAACAAGTAGGCTGGTGGTTAATGTGGTTTTACTTGCTACGGTACAATTATTTGAATATCTTGGTCTGATACATTGGTTTAAATCAAAGATCAGCAAAGTATGGCTTTCTAATTCTGCCAATCTAATCCTCTCTTTTCATTGTGGCTGATGGAAACGAGAATTCAACAAGATCCGGCTGGCTAAGCATTGCTTTCAAAGAGGTTTGAAAAATGGAACAGATGATTTTTTTTCCTAATAAATAAACGTCATTATGATTGCATAGAAATTGGCATAATGACAAAACGTCATTATGATTGCAGAGAAATTGGCATAGGTTTAATCTATGCCTCCTACAAAAAATGGTATCATTGTCCTAAGAATCTCAGTGGCAGAAACTCTGACTTGTGTTTAGAATTTGAGTAGCACATTCAGTGCTTTCATGCCAGATTCAGCTGTTGGGCGTCTTATTAGGTGTGCAGCTACAGCAAGGCCACTGAAAAACAAAACACTGTTGGTATGTTTTGGTGTGAGTTCAGATGTGCAGCAAACTAGCTAATGTGAAATGTCCCCTAGGTGAAAGGTGTGACTCCATATGCTTGATGCAGCTATTGTAATGGCTTGGTTAGTCTATTCTGCTTTCTCTTTCCTCCTTGCTGGCAGTATAGTATGCAACTCTAACACGCTTTTGAGGGACTGTATCCTTAGCACTGTAAAATGATTTGAAGATAGACTGTGCTGCTCTACGTCAAATGGCCTTCTTGATGAGCAATCTTTTCCTTCTTTTTGTTCTCCTTTGCATTCCCCCTTCTCACCCTGTAGGGAGGATTTTGGATTTGAAAACAGGCACAGTAAAGAAAGAAGGACAACAGTCTTCAATGAGAATGTGCATGGGATCCAGGCGTTCCTTCATATGCAGAATGAGGTATGCTATTTCTGCTTTCATCCTTAGGAGAAGATTAGAACCTTCCTCCTAGCTCAGTACCTTAATCACCACACCACACTGGTATTCATCCATCCATCCATCCATCCATCCATCCATCCATCCATCCATCCATCCATCCATCCATCCATGGAAGAACATCCATCCATCCATCCATCCATGGAAGAACCTTGGAGGTCTTCTAGTCCAACCCGCTGCTCAAACAGGAGACCATTTCAGACAAATGGTTGTCCAACCTCTTCTTAAAAACCTCCAGTGTTGGAGCACCCACAACCTCTGGAGGCATGTCGTTTCACTGGTTAATTGTTCTCACTGTCAGCAGATTCCTCTCTAGTTCTAGGTTGGTTCTCTGCTTGATTAGTTCCCATCCGTTGCTTCTTGTCCTGCCTTCAGGTGCTTTGAAGAATAAGTGCTATAAGTTAACTGTCAGAAAAGAATGATCCCAAATGCAAACTAGCAATTTTCAGAAAATGATGCTTGTTTTCATTAATAACATCCATAAATCTGCAGCTTGTGGTTTCTTGGGGTTTTTTTTTTTTTTTTGCAACTTATGAAAGAGTCAGTAGCTCACATCCTTTCCTTGGTTCTGTTTACCAGAACTTAATCATGAGATTGACCGTGGAATGTGATCCATTGTGTCATCCTACTATATTATTATTCAAATTATTATTTCTGAGACGTAAGTTTGGAATGGAAATGTGGCGTTGTTTTTGTTTCATAACACACCACATTTTTTATTTATAAGGGGAAAGAACACAAATAAGTAAGCGCCCAGCTAATTTTAGGCACATGAGCAATTCTTGAGAACATCTTCACTTTTCCAATTTTGAAATACTTTAGGTGTCTGTCTTTAAATACTTTATTTTTAAAAAATCCCATCGTATGGCAATAATTAAGCTTGTCTTGGGCCCGTGGCTTATGGTTTAACCATTTTTTGATCTAAAATAAATATTTGGGATTCTTCTAACCATCTTAAGGCTGTCACTAAACGTGGACCACATGGTGTGGACATCAGCCATCTTTGACTCCCTTAGTTTGCTTTTTTTACCATTTTGTCCAAGGAAGAGCTTATGTAATTGAAATTGTGTTTTATTTTACGATCTTGAATTAGCCTAATATGTTTGTGGTGATACTATAGATTTGGCTTTTCTGTGGTCAGAACAGCTGCCTTTTTTGTTTCTGTTCTTGGGTTTTTTTTATTCTTTTGGTTTGGTATTTACTTGGATTTATCCATATAACCATGGGATCCAGCATCAAATCCAGAAAGTTTTCTCCTACCTGAGATTAATAATCAGTAGAACGACTTGTCTCCAGAAGTTGTGGATGCTCCAACATTGGAGGTTTTTTAAGAAGAGACTGGACAGCTATTTGTCTGAAATGGTATAGGGTTTCCTGCTTGAACAGGGAGTTGGACTAGAAGACCTCCAAAGTCCCTTTCAACTGTGTTATTCTATTCTAGGGGTCTTCAAACTTGGCCCTTTTATGACTTGTGGACTTCAACTCCCAGAATTCCTCAGCCAGGCACGCTGACTGAGGAATTCTGGGAGTTGAAATCCACAAGTCATAAAAGGGCCAAGTTTGAAGAACCTTGTTCTATTCTGTAAGGTTGGGCTTTTATCTTTGGCTAGTATCTCCCCTCGAGTGGTTACATAAAGCTACAACAAAATGACTTCTGGATCAGCCTACAGAGAGAAACAAAAAGAGAACAACCCTCTTTAAGATGACACTATTAGTTGGTTTATTTCCTCTTACTTATAAGTTGGATCTCTCTTTGATAAGTTTCCATCCATTATTTCTTATCTTGGCCTCAGGTGCTTTGTCTAATAGATTGTTCCACTCTTCTTTGGGACAGCAAAGGAAACACCAACTCAGATTCTTTGTGACTTCAAGGCCAACACAAATCAAAGCAAACACCAGCCCATGGTCTTTAAAAGCCTTCTGTTACAAAGGTTTCTGACTGCAGTTGTGTTACTCTATTGTTTTAGTTTGTTCCCTGCAATCAAGTATGGTTGCTAACGGTCTTATGCTGTTTCATTTCCAGATGTGGCAATGCTCCGTTGGATCATTTACCTCTGAACAGGATAGCAACCATGAGGAAAAGATACCGGTTGGTGTTTTATGTTCCTTCTTTGGCATAAACCTTAGTTGGTTTTCTATATCTTTAGGGGTCAGGGGTCTTCAAACTTGGCCCTTTTATGACTTGTGGACTTCAACTCCCAGTATTCCTCAGCCAGGCATCCTGGCTGAGGAATTCTGGGAGCTGAAGTCCGCAAGTCATAAAAGGGCCAAGTTTGAAGAGCTTTGCTTTAGATCTTTATCCAAGACAAATGTTGGCCTCTTATGCTTGGGTTGACAAGATAAGGCTCATAAGCATCAATTCACATTCTTGTAGCATCAATCTCATATTCTTGAGATCAGCTTTCACAGTGATGGCGGAGGCGTTCATGCTTGACACATGGACTCTAAGGAATTCAACAAATGTGCCTGTGGGCTAGTTGAATTTGAACAGACCCATCAAATTATAACATTGGCAAAAGGATCCAGGTGAGCACAGAATGATTCTTGTGCTTATTCCAAAGTTTAGGACAAAACCACAATTATTCCTAGTGTTGGAGCCTAGCATCTGTTTTCTTAAATTGCAGGGTTTAAAATATGCTCAAAACAGGATTTATTATTTATCATGGTTCTTGTTAATTACATTTCATGGGGAATATAATTTAACAAAATACATGTGGTTTGTGCACGTTTCTGCTTAACGACTGCCTGCATGCATTTGCATGTGTGTATGAGTTTAAGTGTGTCTGTGTGTCTATAATCTACACTTAAATATATATCTGTGTACATTTAGCTATATCCCAAATAGAGAAGACCAAGAAGATAGTGTTAGAGGGAGGGAAATATAAATATTGCAATAAATTTGGTGGCTGTTTCTTTCGATTGCTTCTTTCCACATATATGCATTTGTAGATTTTCATATCCCACATGTTTTGTTCTGCTCAAGGATTTGAGAAATGACATCCATTTATTGGCAATATATGTTTTTTCAGTAATACCGACTTCCGAATGATCTTAACACAAGAAATAAAAGAAATAAATTGTGGCTTTATACTGTATGTGACTCACCCAGTTTCTTCTATAGCCTCTTTCCGTGGCTTCTAGTTGACGTAACGGAGCGCCTGAGTTTGGACTATGGGCCAAAGAGAAAACATCCCTGCTTCAAAGGGAGCCACTTTGATTGAACTATGAAAAGAGGATTCAGAGAGTGGTAGCAATAAATTTGAAGGATTGTCTTGATTGAAAAACAAACGTGGTTATTTTTTACTCTTTGCTTTCTATTCAGAAACGGCCTGGGCCCAGTGAAAGAAGGAGAGGCACAATATGCTGTGGTCCACTGTACCGGGTATATAAAGGCTTGGCCTCCAGCAGGTAAAAGAGGCAAGGCAGAATTTTAGTTTTTCTTTCTTTCTTTCTTTCTTTCTTTCTTTCTTTCTTTCTTTCTTTCTTTCTTTCTTTCTTTCTTTCTCTCTCTCTCTCTCTCTTTCTCTTTTTTTCTTTCTTTCTCCCCCTTCCTCCCTTCCTCTCTCTTTCTCCCTCCCTCCCTTCCTCTTTCTAAACTGCTATCTCTCTCTCTCTCTCTCTCTCTCTCTCTCTCTTTCTCCCCCTTCCTTCCTTCCTTCCTTCCTTCCTTCCTTCCTTCCTTCCTTCCCTCCCTCTCTTTCTCCCTCCCTCCCTCCCTCCCTCCCTCTTTTTAAACTGCCATCTTTCTTTCTTTCTCTCTCTCTTTCTCTCTCTTTTTCTTTCTTTCTTTCTCCCCCTTCCTTCCTTCCTTCCTTTTTTCCTTCCCTCCCTCCCTCCCTCTCTCTCTTTCTCCCTCCCTCCCTTCCTCTTTCTAAACTGCTATCTTTCTCTCTCTCTCTCTCTCTNCCCTCCCTCCCTCCCTCTTTCTAAACTTCCATCTCCTTTTGTTCCTTCTTGGAAGGCAACAAACAAACTTCTCTTATATAATCCTCGGGGAAGTTCAACATTTTAGAATTCCAGGAATTTGAATCTCATTTTATATTACTTTCCTACATGAAATCAGTGCTCACAATATCTTTATCTCTGCATTTTTAAATTGTGTATCCTTGGGTGAGAGACCATAATTCAGAAAGCCAAAGTAATTTTTGAGTCTTTATTCTAGAGTAGCTGTCAATACACACCAAAGTCAAGTACTATTTCTCTCAAGAAATGGACACCCTTAGCAAATTTCTATTGGCCATGCTAGGATAGGCAACACAGCACATCTCATGGACTGTAGTTCCTCAGGCCCCCAGCTAGCAAGTGTATAAATGAAGAGCAATTTTTAAAACCCCAGAAGCTTTTATACATTTTGCTCCCACAGTAATCTTTCCTCCCTGATGGCCAATTCTGAACCTAGAAGAATTTTGAAATGAATTTTTTTTTTTTTGGAGAGAAGAAAATCTGATTTAAAAAACAAAAAAACACCCTCTACGTAAGCGCTTGGTTCCAAGCTACCACACCCTCCATTTCTTCCATAAAGCATTTCTGTTTTGAATGAGGTCTTCTGGGATTACTTCCTTTTCTTGGCCCATTGCACTATACTCTAAACATGCTGTAACTCAATATCACGCGTGGGGATATTTACATACGGGAAAATGTGGGAAACAGTTGGAAACCCAAGAGGGGGTTGTGTCCAATGTTGTCAAGAGATGGTTTGGCTGACCTTATTTCTTGGACTTGCCGAAGAGCGTCTTTTCTCTCTGACAGTTCCTGCTGATGTGAATCAGAACAGGAGTAACCTTGGTTGTTGACATTGGGATGCATTACTTGCCTAAAGCAGTGGTGGTTTTATTTCCTTGGGGATGCAAATATCACCATCTCCCATCCTACTAAAGCTGTATGAGGTTTTAGTCTGGTTGAATTTACTGTAGAGTTGTAGGTATTGCAAAAAAAAAAATACACCTGGAATACTGCAGCCAATTTTGGTCACCGTATCACAAAAAAGAGGTTGAGAGTTTGGAAAAAGTTCAGAGAAGAGCAACTAAGAGGATCAAAGGCCTGGAGACTAAAACATACAAAGAATGGCTGCAGGACTTGGGTTTGGCTAGTCCAGGGGTAGGCAACCTCGGCTCTTTTATGACTCATGGACTTCCATTCCCAGAATTCCTGAGTCAGCATAGCGGACTCAGGAATTCTGGGAGTTGAAGTCCATGAGTCATTAAAGAGCCGAGGTTGCCTACCCCTGGGCTAGTCTAAAGAAAAGAACAAACAGGGGCGACATGATAGCAGTGTTCCAGTATTTGAGGGGCTGCCACAAAGAGGAGGGGGTCACGTTATTCTCCAAAGCACCAGAGGGAAGGACAAGAAACAATAGTTGGAAACTGACCAAAGAGAGAAGCAACCTGGACTTAAGGAGAAACTTCCTGACAGTGAGGACAATTAACCAGTGGAACAGCTTGCCCCCATAAATCGTGGGCGCTCCATCACTGGAGATTTTTAAGAAGAGGCTAGACAGTCACTTGTCTGAGATGGTATAGGTTCTCCTGCTTAAGCGGGGGGCTGGACTAGAAGACCTCCAAGGTCCATTCCAGCTCTATTCTATTATTATCTATTATTATTATTATATCACCATGTCCCATCCCACGAAAGCTGTATGAGGTTTTAGTCTGGTTGAATTTACTGTAGAGCTGGAGATATTGCAAATATCACCCTGTCCCATTCTACTAAAGCTGTATGACGTTTTAGTGTTGTTGAACTTACTGTAGAGCTAGCTGTAGGGTATTGGTCATGGATCATATATTGTCGTGGGGCTCTTTCAGAGCTCGGCAAAGAATAATTATATTGTGTGCAGGGAAGGAAGAGGATTCTGCAGGATCCAATCTGGGTTTTAGTCTTCTGAGCTTCTGGAGTCATGCTGGAGCCTTGTCCTCAGGGAATTCCTCTCTCTCACCAGAATGGGTACTTTGGGCTATTCTATGTGCCCAAAGCACATATTCTGTTGATGTGGTGCCTGGTTGTGTGTGGCTTTTTAGGTGTTGACTGGGATATTCATGGCCAGCTATGACTCCAATCATCAACTTAAAAGCCACATACAACCAGGCACCATGTAAATAAGGAAGGACTCCCTGGAGAAGAGCCTGATGCTGGGAAAGATGGAGGGCAATAGAAGAAGGGGACGACAGAGAAGGAGGGGGCTGGATGGAGTCCCTGAAGCAGGAGGTGTGAGCTTAAATGGACTCCAGAAGATGGTAGAGGACAGGAAGGCCTGGAGGAACGTTGTCCATGGGGTCGCGATGGGTCGGACACGACTTCGCAACTAACAACAACCACAAAGAATATCCCAAAGCACACACAGCTCGGAAGACTAAACCTCTGGTCCCAGTGACCGATCCAGATTGGATCCTGCAACGTCGTCCTGGGACATGCCTTCATTCGGAAGAGGATTTTGCTCAGGCTACAGTTTAGAAAATTAGAGCCTAATTTCCTTGTGGAGCCATGGCTTATTACAGAATGTAAATATTGTGGGCTAGTGCGAAGCTGTGTGAACTTTTCCAAATGTGCTTATGTCATAAGTACTTACAACCGGACTGGCAACCTTTTCAAATGCAGAATACTTCTCGCCCCCCCCCCCCCCACCTCTCTCTCAGGGCCAAAATACCTTGTATGAAAACCCTGCAATCTCGTGAAAAATGGCCAAACGTTCATGAGAGGTGGCCTAGTTTTCTGTTACCTTAGCAATCTGCTGAGTTGTGAATGTTTGAAACTGCATTAATTTAACTCTTTTGGAGGGGGCAGGGCAGGTTCCCTAGTCCCTAGTCCAGTGGTTCTCAACCTGTGGGTCGGGACCCCATTTGGGGTCGATCGACCATTTCACGGGGGTCGCCAAGCAAGCCTGTCTGCCATTTTTTTGTCCGCCATTTTTTTTGTCCGCCATTTTTTTCCCCTTTTCCGGCGGGTGTCTTACCTCTCTTGGGCTGGGCCAGCTGGTGGTCGGCCTGCTCCGTCTCTGCCGCTTGCCAGCTATGCCTCGGCCGGCACAGGGGGCAGAACCACGCATGCGTGGCGCTCCCGGGCAGGGAAAGTCCTCGACTTACGACCGGTTGGGTAGTCCTCGACCTATGACCGGTTTAGTCCTCGACTTACGACCGGTTTAGTCCTCGACTTACGACCGGTTGGGGTCGCGGCATTAAAAAGGTTGAGAACCACTGCCCTAGTCCTTCACTTGCCACATTGCCAACTCTTAACTTTCCCTTTAAGAGGTTAATTAAGCGTTAAATGTTAGATCTTCTCTTTGTTTTGTTTTTTTAAACTGCTTGGAGGAGTGAGACAGCACAGGACATTAGCAATCCAACGCAATCACCATACGTTGCTGCATATTCAGACAGTCCTCGACTTACAACGGGCCATTTACTGACCATTCAGAGTTACAGCATCACTGAAAAAAGGGACTTATGACCCTTTTTCACACATACGGCCGCCGCAGCATCCCCATGGTCACGTGATCAAAACTCCGATGCTTGGCAAATGACTCATATTTTTGATGGCTGCAGTGTGAGGTCTTGAGGTCACGTCTTGAGGTCACGTGATCCCGTTTTGCGACCTCCTGACGAGCAGAGTCAAGGGGGGGGAACCCATTTCACTTAACAACCGTGTTACTAATTTAGCAGCTACAGCGATTCACTTAACAACGCGGGCAAGAAAAGTCGTAAAATGGGGCAAAACTCACTTAACAAATGCTTCACTTTGCAGCAGAAAATTTGGGCTCATTTGCGATCGTACGTTGAGGACTTACCTGTAATTTCTTCATAGAAAAAAAAAGGGGGGGGGAACAATCGAACGGCCATGCTTTTATTTCTTTATTTCTTTTTTTATTTTTTAGATTCGGAGATGGACAATACATAATGGCAAACAGCTGCTTTCCAAAGCATTCCCCCATCTTTCAGAAAGAAAGAAATAGCACATTTTTTTAAAAAAAAAACAACCGTATAAGTATTTGAAACATTTTTGGAAAACCAACCTTTCCATTTTAGTTTGCGTATGTTTGTTTTAAGGATTTCTCCAGAGAGGTCTGAGTGATGAGCTGCATCAGATATAATAGTGAACATAGTGAAAAAGAACACGAATGGAGCCAAGTCTGCTCTTAAACAATGTGTGTGTGTGTGTTTGTGTGTGTATGTATGTATTTGTTGAATGCGTGCAAGGATATAGCACGCCCTGCATTCTTTTGGCATTTTAGGAGCCTTTGAATGATGGCTTATACCCTAATTGGCTTCTTCTGGTAGCTTCAACGATGGAAAAAATGCAGAGGGGGGCGCGCGAGTGGATTCTTTCTTGGCAATTTCAGTTGTCTCGTAAGGGTCTTATAAAAAACAAATGCATTTCAACTTCATTGTGAAAGAATCAACCAAATAATGGGAAGATGGTAA